AGACCACCATCGACAGATGCTTCTGCTCGTTCACCCCCACGCAGATGATGCAACTGGCCGTTACATCCTCCACCTTCTCCACACCCGAAGATCTCTCACGCCGTCGAGTCAGTGACCATGCCGCCCTCTTCGTCTCCTTCACGATGCGTGACGCCAAACCCTCGCCGAACCAGCCGATCGCCCAGTACATTGTCAAGTCCCCCGTCTTCAAAGAGATTGCCGACAATGCGTTCGCCGCCTCCCCCATGGACAACCTATCCCCGCCGACCAAGCTGATTCTGACCACCGACCTCCTTCGACAAATCGCGCGTGAAACTCGTGACCGTCTTCATGAAATGCAACCGAACAGTGGCGACGTGCTCTTCCAGGTAGCGAAGTCGATCTCTCGGGCGGTCTGGCGCCAAGACCGACAACTCGCTGCTCGCCTCCTTCGCTCGCACCTAGTCGCGAAAGAACATATCCATATCAACGGTGACAGCGTTGAGCTCATCGACCATGCAAAGTTCGAGGAGTGGGCAGGCATCCTTTTCCGCCAAGATGCTGAACAGCGTCTCGCAGCCATCGACCAAGCAGTTCAGCGTGGGCGCCTACGACCCGCTCAAGCGCGTGGACAAACCCAAGCACTGCATCGGAAGCTCAAGCTCTGGAACCCGCTCAGCAAGCGTCTGGTACTGACGGGGGTCAAGACCAGTGAGGGCACCGTGACGGGCCCCAATGGGCGAATCAAGAAACTTGTCGAGCACTGGCAGCCCGTCTTCGAGGGCAAGCCCGTCGACTTGACCAAGGCCGCAGCCTACCTGAACCCGTTCTCGCCCACCATCGATTTTTCCAAGTACAAGCCGCCAGACTACGAGACGCTCAAGAAGTTCGCCAAGCGCTCGTCACCCACCTCGCCAGGCCTTGACGGACTACCGTACCTCGCCTGGTCCGCGCACGAGAAGTGCACCGAGGTTCTCTGGGACGTCATGTGCTACATGCTCAACGGCGGGATCCTCCCCGACGAAGTGAACGCGACCGTCCAAGCCTTCTTGCCCAAAGGTGAGGAACCAGAGGACTCGGAACACAACGGCTGCCATCGAGACCCGTCCAAAGTCCGTGTCCTGGGACTGCGCAACACGTCCCTCAAGATCATCAGCAGCGCGATGAATGCTGCGACGGCAACGGTGGCAGCTGATGTAGTCCCAGCCTCACAGCGCGGGTTCATCCACCGGCGCAACTTCGGCTACAACATCCTCGAGCTCGACGCCGAGAGCCGCATTGCCTCGGCCGACCCTGACGCCCAGAACATGCTGCCCGTGCTGGTGTCGCTGGACATCGCGCAGGCCTTTCCCAGCTTCGCCCACCAGTTCATCCGTCTGGCGCTCAAAGCCATGGGCGCTCCTGAAGCGGTCCTCATGTTCTTCGACTCCATGTGCAACAACATCCTCGCGATGGCCCCGTGCGCTGGCCAGTACGTCCCGCTCTTCTACATCAGGTCGGGCATCATCCAGGGATGCGGATGGAGCGGCGCGCTGTATGCGCTGGGCACTGCATGCTTCCTGCTCAACCTCGAGACTGTCCTCGAAGCCCAAGGCCGCGGACTTTGTCGGGCATGCGCTGATGACCTTGGACTTGTCCTTCGGACCGTTGCCTACCTCGTCTACCTCGCAGACGTCATGCTTTGCATGGAAATCTTGGCTGGTCTGGAATTGAAGGCGCCGAAGTGCCACATCATCCCCTTGGCAGGCCAGGTCAATGCTGACCTCATCCTCAAACTCAAGAACGCGCTGCTTGCTATTGTCCCGAAGTTCAAGGACTTCAACGTATGCGACCACCTCACCTACCTCGGCCTCTTGCTGGGCCCTGGCGCCACGGACCAGCTCATCTACGCGAAGGCCTTCAACAAGTACCGCTCCCGAGCCATGGCGCACAGCGCGAGCGACGCGCCAGCCGTCGGAACCGTCTCCCTGTATAACGGGCGCGCGCTCCCCGTCCTTGGCTACCTTGCCCAGTACGCCTTGCTCCCGCACGAGCACTTCAAACACGAGAGCTGGATCAACGCCTCCGTCCTGCGCTTCCCGAACGGCGCTTTCAGGCTGAAGGACTGGCCCTTTCTGAAGAACTGGGGAGTTCCCGCACCGAGGTCGCTCCAGCTCAGCGCGATTGCGACGATCGTCCGCGCGGCGACCTCGACATTCAAGAAGTTCACCGAGATCCGCGAGAGGCTGCACGAAGGCTTGAGCTCCTACGGCATCCAGCAGACCCTTGAGGGCGCCGCGCGGGGTGTCCTTCATCTCTCACCGCCGTGGTGGAAGACGCAGGCCTTCGTGGAGACGATGCACCAGATCGTGTCGGCCACCTCCGACCACGGATACTACTCTCGCCAGCTCGTGGCGCCAGCGGTCGAGGCCTCGCGGGCGGCTGTCGCCAACGGGCAGCCTGGCCTCGCTCAGAAGCACGCCTTCGCTTCGGCCTTGGCCACCCGCGGGCCCGACTGCATCGGACCCTTCCTGCAGGACCGCATCGTGAAGGAGCTCCCGCACGCTGGCGTGTTCTTCCTTCACAGCCCCTCCATCATGAACGACATCCAGGCCGCCATGAAGAGACTGCCCCCATCGTGGGCGACGGCGTGGATGAGGACACTATCCTTTTCTTGGCTCACCTCCTACCGCATCGCCTACCCGTGCGGCAGGCGCCTGTGCATCTTCGGCTGCGCCAGTGGCCAAGACAAGATGAGCCACTACCTAGTCTGCGCGCCGCTGGCGCAGGCTGTGGGACGTGCATGCGGCGCGCCCCCCCTCTCCACCGAGTTCGCGAAGCTCGGACTCACCGACCAGAGCAACGAGAGCGCCGAGTCCATCGCGGTTGCCTGCCTCACGTACCATGCGCTCAGGCAGGAGACCCACGTCTCGGCGGAGGCCACCCTGTCGGCCGCGCGGCCGGCATTGCGGGCCACGAAGACTATGAAGAAGCCGCCGCCCGCGCAGCGTCACCACCATCGCCGCCGACGCGAGGGGGCGGCGCCTGGACACGGACATCCACCTGCACCTGATCGGCATCGTGGGGGAGATGCCGACGTACATCATCCACTTCGGCTCCGTGGAGCCGCCGCTGATCAAGATCAGCTTCCAGTTCACGTCCGAGGAGATGTTTGGCATCCTCCTCTTGGCGCGCTGCCTGTGAGCAGGTGAGCGCGTGTGCGGGGGCTGCTGGCGCCGTGCGGGGCGCGGCCGTCAGGAGCCTGGAGCCTTCCCCTCCGCACGCTCGACTCCTGTTCCTCCCCCTCCTCCTCCTCCTCCTCCTCCTTCTCCTCCTCTTTGGGTCGCCTACGGCCCCGGCGGAAACCGCCCACATCGACCCCCCATCGCCCATCTCATCTTCGAGAGGGACCCGGTGGCCCGCCCCCGCTCAGGAACGTGTTGTTCTGCTATCGGGGGCCTACCGCCGATCCATCGGCGATGCATCGCCGATTCCAGGTGAGCGACGCGAAAAAAAAGGGGTCGTCAGTGCCGACATTGACGCGTAAGCTGCTCGCGTATGGCCGCACGTGGGCGCCCTCGTCTCCATTGTGGCGTGCCGCGCGGGCGGCCCGCGTAAGCAGCCGCGCAAGGTCGCTTCGTCATCTCGCGTAAGACCCGTTTTGGATCGTCGATCAGGTGGATCTGCCCTGCCCCTGCGCCAGTCCTCTCCTTACGTTGCCCGGTGGTTTCGGGTCACAGCCCAGCTTTGCGGCGGCCGTTCGGGGCGACTCGGGCACCTCCGCAGCGCTCTCGACGAGGCGCAGTTGCTGGAAGGCATCCCGAGGCTGGAAAACCACCGAGATCTGACGAAAGCGTCAGAGAACTTGCGCTCTCCGTCCCAGACATGCGATGTCTCGATGCTTCGTCCATACGCTGCCCACGGAAGTCCCGACCCTGAACGCATGGCCGCTTCTTGACTCCGAGTTGTCGTTCCACAGTGCCAGGGCTCGGCGAGGGCCCCCAGGCCCCCAGGAGGCCGCAAGCAGCCAGCAACCCCGTCGTGACTACAGTGGAAGCCCATGCCAAGAAACACCCTGCTTGCCTCCAGGGTGCCCTGGGTTTCTAAGGTTCCGATGATTCTGCAATAGGAAGCGTGACTTCCCCACGCCAGAAATGCATGGACGTCCAGGGGTCTCGGGATTGGGTTTCATGTGGAAGGTGCCTTGTGGCCGAGCTCCGACCCTGGGTTTCTTAACAAGCGTGGGGGGTACCCCCCCGACGGGGCTCAACCTCGCCTCGTCGTCGCGCCGCGACGGGGGTCGGAGCGCCTTCGGCGCGGTGGCTGCCCGCGACGGGGGTCGATGTGGGGCTGCCGGCGGGGGTGACGCTCCCCCGTCGCTGATTAAGAAACTCAGAGTATGTTCGGCCGCGCCCTGACGTGTGATCAGCCTCCAGGAAAGCGACGGGAGCGCCCGACAAACATCCAGCAGCGCTCTGGCGTATAGCCGATCCGAAACCGCACGTTCAGCCGTGCTCTGACGTGCGGGCTCCAGGAGCCGACGAGAGCGCCCGACAACGTCCAGCTGCGTTCTTACGCGTGGCCCCCCGACGCTGACTAAGAGACTCGGAGTATCCCTCGACGCGAGCAGGTGAGGCTTTCGGGCCATGGCTCGGGCCTCCGGCGGCCGCTCGGGACGATGCCGGCGCCCCTGGACAATGCTCTCGTCGAGGCGCAGCTCCTGGAAGGCCGCTCGAGGCAGGAAGGCAGCAGAGAAGCGGCGAAGTCTCCAGAAAGCCTCCCCCTCCTCCTCCTCCTCCTCCTCCTCCTCCTCCTCCTCCTCCACCTCCTCCACCGCCTCCGCCTCCGCCTCCTCCTCCTCCTCCTCCTCCTCCTCCTCCTCCTCCTCCTCCTCCTCCTCCTCCTCCTCCTCCTCCTCCCTCCTCCCCTCTCCTATATGGTACTGGTGGTGGTGGTGGGAAATGGGCCCATCATGTTAGTTCATGCCGCGAGCACTGTCTGTGCTGGGGCCCCACCTTTCTGCCGCCGAGCCCCGGGGCGAGGCTGCCGAGGCCCCGCAGCTGCCGGCCCTGGCCACGACGTTCTGCAGCACCCTCCAGGAGACTTTTTTCATCCCGAGGATCGAGGAGGAGGATCGAGGACGCAGATCGAGGAGGACGACACAGGAGGATGAGGAGGAGGAGGAGGAGGAGGAGGGAGGAGGAGGAGGAGGAGGAGGGGAGGAGGGGGACGAGGATCGAAGAGGAGGAGGAGGCGGAGGAGGAGGCGGAGGAAGTGTGCAGGCACTGTCACGATGCGCGCCCGCGACGTCTGGGAAGGCCTGGGAATGGCGTGACTCGTGACGTGACTGGCGAGGGGGGAGGGGGAGGACGAGGAGGAGCAGAAAAAGAAGGACGAGGTGGATCGTGAAGGAGGAGGAGGAGGAGGAGGAGGATCGTGGAGGAGGAGGAGGAGGAGGAGGAGGAGGAGGATCGAGGATGATCGAGGACGAGGATCGAGGAGGATCGTGGAAGAGCAGGAGGAGGAGGAGGAGGATCGAGAAGGATCGAGAAGGTTCGAGGTGGATCTTGGATCGATTGAGGATCGAGGAGGATCGAGGAATGCCCAGGAGGAGGAGGAGGAGAAGGAGGAGGAGGAGGAGCAGGAGGACGAGGGAGCCACATTTTGAAAACCACCCGCCCTCAATCCATGAAACTGCTGCAAATGTTGAAAACCAATGTGCGCGGCGCTAAGGCGAGAGCCACATTTTGACAACCACCCGCCCTCCATCCGTGAAACTGTTTTCATTTTTTTGGCTTCAGAGTCATAAGTGGTGAGGAAGTCTCCGGCGAAACGCCCGGCCCGCCATGCAGGAGGAGCACGTGGAGCAGGAGGGATGAGGAGGAGCAGGAGGAGGGTCGAGGAGGAGCGCGGCGCCATGGCGAGTGATCAGTCCCTGGGCTCCAGCTGCTGCTGCCGAACCTCGGCGCCGCGCTCGCGGACAGGCTGCTGGACGCGGCCGGGCTGCTGCCAGGGCTGCTCTCCGCCGCCACGGCGGCGAGGGCGCCGAGGGGCGCTCCTGGCGGAGACCGCCGGTCCCCGGGGGCAGCGAGTCCTCCTCGATCCTCCTCCTCGAGCCTCTTTGACCCTTCCTCGATCCTCCTCGACCCTCCTTCTAGATCCTCCTGGACCCTCTTCCTCGATACTCTTCGATCCTCCTCGATCCTACTCGATCCTCCTCTCTTCTCGATCCTCCTCGATCCTCCTTGAACCTCCTCGCCTTCTTGGGCTGTGACGCTATCAGTGCTGCACTTCGCCCCCCCCACCCCCCCCAGCGGCTGGTCCCTGGACGGGCACTTCCGCGGACAGCCGACCGACCTCGCCTTCTCCTCTTCCTCCTGCGCCCGTGCCACTTCCTCCTCCTCCTCCTTGTTCTCGTCCTCCTCCTCCTCCTCCTTCTTTTCCTCCTCCCTCCTCCTCCTCCTCCTCTTCTCCTCCTCCTCTCCTCCGACCGACCTCGCCTCCTCCTGTGTCCATGCCACCGTGAATCGCAGAAGAAATCATGGTACGTAGCACCCCGCAGATGCGGATAAGAGTGAGGGGTTGGTGGGACCGTTGGCGGTCTGCGAGACTCTGGAAAAGCCCGCCGCAGGCGCCAAAGTTTCACAATGTATACAACGAGCCCGACGCAGGCGCCGATCTTTTCTTCAAACCAATGTGGATCGGTCGCGGGTGGGTCGCGGGGTGGGTCGCAAGTAGGTCGCGGGTGGGTCGCGCATGGGTCGCGGGTGGGTCGCGGGTGGGTCGCGGGGTGGGTCGCGGGTGGGTCCCAGGTTGTGTCGTGGGTGGGTCACGGGATGCGTCGCGGGGTGGGTCGCAGGGTGGGTCGCGGGTGGGTCGCGGGGGGAACGACAACAACAAACAACAACAACAACAACAACAACAACAACAACAACAACAACAACAACAAGAACAACAACAACACCAACAACAACAACAACAACAACAACAACACCAACAACAACAACAATAACAACAACAACACCAACAACAACAACAACACCAACAACAACAACAACACCAAGAACAACAACAACACCAACAACAACAACAACACCAACAACAACAACAACAACAATCATTTTAAGACTGTTCGCTCTTACTTGCCCGCGTGCCATGCAACGTGTATACCCACGCCCTCGATACCCGCCCCCTTCGTCTTCGAGCGTACCCCCTTCTGGGGGGATTCTTTCTTTTTGCGGGGGCGGGCGGGCTTAGACAAGCGGGCGTGAACGGGCGGGGAATTATTCGGAGGATGGGGCACGCATCTCTTTGCCCACCATTGGAATTAGCGCGGGCCCTGCAAGAAGAGGAAGGGGGAGAACGAGGGAGAGTGGGAGGAAGGGAGGGGGAGGGACGAGGCTAAAGGGGAACACGCCAGGAGAGAGGGGGCGAGGAGGGGGGGGGGGGACGATTGGAGATAGAGAGACAGAGGAGGGAGGAAGGAGGAGGCTGGAGAGGGGAGGGCGAAGAGAGGAGGGAGGAGGGTTATGGGAGGAGGGTGAGGGGAGAGAGGAAGAGGGAGGAGGAGGGTGGATATGAGGGAGAGGGGAGGGAGGAGGGAGGTTGGATGGGGAGGAAGGGGCAGGAAGGTAAGAGTGTGAACGTTCGAGGAAGTCCTGGGCGAGGGCGTATTCCTCAAGGAAGAGTTGGGCGGGAGCGGGGGTCCCGAGTACATTGTCGGACGTCTCAGGCGGGAGCGCTGGTCGGGCGGGCGGACCCGGGCGGGTCGGGCGGGCGGGACAGTCAAACGGGATTTTTGCGTAAATTGCGAGGAAGGATTGAGCGAGAGCGCGATTCCTAAGTAAATTGCGAGGGCGTCCTTGGCGCGAGCGTGGTTCCTGAGCGTCGAGAACGCGATGCTGCAATAAATTGCGAGGAAGTCCTAAGCGAGAGCGCCATTCCTGAGTAAATTATGAGGAAGTCTCGGGCGGGAGCAGGGGTCCTGATTAAGGAAGTCTCAAGCGGGAGCGCCGCTTCTGAGTAAAATGTGAGAAAGTCTGAAGCGGGAGCGCCCTTCCGGAGTAAATTTTGAGGAAGTCTCAGGCGGGAGCGGGGGTCCTGAGTAAATTGTGAGGAAGTCTCAGGCGGGAGCCGTTGTTGTTGTAGTCCGGGGCCCAACAACGCAATCTGATCCGCAAGGCTTTCCCTGTCAAAAACCAGGGTGCGAGCCCCGGAGGAAGCACTTCAATTGAAAAAAACAATGGGCACCGGACAGGGGGGATCAACAATAATTATTCTTCAGAAATGAGAGTTCATCAACAACAACAACAACAAGAACAACAACAACAACAACAGCAGCAGCAACAACAACATTACTCCGACGGAAGAACCCCACATAAGAATCCTCTGGGCGAATCTGGAAAAAGCCATCACCGTCGTCCTCGTGGTTGGTGAGGCGTCCTGGCTGTCTCTTCTGCGTATATTTCCTCTCGCCTTGGCGCGGGCCCCCCTTCCACTCCTTACGTTGTCCCCATCCTCGCCCCCCTGTTTGTTCCGCGCCCCGCCACCTCCTCCCCTTCCTGTTGCATGAGCGCGCATGTCGATGTTCCTCGGCGCCGTCGCCGCCACGGCCAGCACAGGCGCGTTCTCTACTGGTCACGTCGCGCAGCCGTTGGGACAACCCCGCGGGCCAGGCTGTCGGGACAACCCCGCGAGCCGCTGGCGCGCAAGACCAAGCCGTTGGGACAACCCCGCGGGCTTCGAGCGAGGCGCAGCCGCGCTCAGGCGGAAGGCAGCACGAAACCCAGCTCTGCCGCGAGCTGCTTCGCCTCCGCCCTGGACAAAACCGCTCTCTTGTCGAACTCCAGGAGCGCCTTCCGCAGGGACGCCGGCGGCCCGCACTCCAGGAACTCTCGCGGCGGCGGCCGCAGGATCAGCATGTTCCGCATGCACGTGGCGCGGGAGAACATGACGTAGAGGTGCAGCCACCACTGCTCGTCCGACATGCCCGTGCGGCCAGCGTCCTCGTCTCTCGCGCAGTCGATGGTGACGCCCTTGCGCAGCGTCTGGCCCTGCGACAGCGTGGAGGTCAGGTAGGACGCGTGCGTCAGGGTGAACCCCGAGCGGCGCACGCTGTGCGCCCCCGAGCTCTGCCATGTGTGCTCCCTTTCGCTGGGCCTGAACATCAGCAAGCTCCGCGCCCGCGCCTCGGCCTGGCCGTCGTCGTCGGCGCCTTCGGCGCCCTGTCGCAGCACCTCGGCGACCTCCTGGTAGATCGGAGACTCCTTGAAGCCGTGCACCTGCAGCCAGATTCCTGACCCGCTCGGATTACCAACATGATCTGCGGGCCCCATAGGGAGGGGGCTCCCGCCTGAGACTTCCTCAGTTCACTCACAGACGAGGCTCCCGCCTGAGACTTCCTCCATATTCAGGCTTGAGGAGCCCAAAAGTGACGACAGTTACAGGGTTCCGATGACCCGCTCGGATTACCAACATGATCTGCGGGCCCCATAGGGGGGAGCTCCCGCCTGAGACTTCCTCACAATTCACTCAGAGACGAGGCTCCCGCCTGAGACTTCCTCCAAATTCAGGCTTGACGAGCCCAAAAGTGACGACAGTTACAAGGTTCCGATGACCCGCTCGGATTACCAACATGATCTGCGGGCCCCATAGGGAGGGTGCTCCCGCCTGAGCCTTCCTCAGAATTCACTCACAGACGAGGCTCCCGCCTGAGACTTCCTCCAAATTCAGGTTTGAGGAGCCCAAAAGTGACGACAGTTACAGGATTCCGATGACCCGCTCGGATTACCAACGTGATCTGCGGGCCCCATAAGGAGGGAGCTCCCGCCTGAGACTTCCTCCCAATTCACTCACAGACGAGGCTCCCGCCTGCCTCCATTTTCAGGCCTGGGGAGTTCAAAAGTGACGACAATTACAGGATTCCGATGACCCGCTCGGATTACCAACATGATCTGCGGGCCCCATAGGGAGGGGGCTCCCGCCTGAGACTTCCTCACAATTTACTCAACGATGATGAGGATGAGGATGATGAGTGGTGGTGAAGATGAGTGGTGAAGAGGATGATGATTGATTGTGAGTGGTGGTGGCGATGATGATGTTTGAATGAGGATGATGCCGATGCCGATGATGATGATGATGATGTTCGTGAGCGTGTGAGAGAATGCGAGTGATGATGATGATGAGTATGTGAGTGACTAAGCATGTGAGAGAGCATCATCGATGATGCTGATGAGGTTGATGATGAGAGAGTGTGAGTGAGTGTGAGTGTGTGTGTGTGTGTGTGTGTTCCTGTTCCTGCGCGGGGTGTCCAGAGAAAACAAGAACCCCACTTTGGATGTGGGGAAAAAAACAAAACAAACAACAACAACACTAACAACAACAACACTAACAACAACAACAATAACAACAATAACAACAACAACGACGACGACAACAACAATCAGGTTAAGACTGTTCGCTATGATCTGCTCGCGTGTCATTCAATATGCATTTCCCAAACCCTGGATACCCGCCCTCTTCGTCTTCGATCGTACCCCCTTTTGGGGGGTATATTCATTCCCTGCCACGTGTGGTTGGTGAAGCCCTTGAAAACGAAGGGTAACAGATAACGGGGGAGAATGAGGACGAAGGGGTCGGAGGAAGGGGGGGATGGGGCAAGAAGGAGGGAGGACGATGATTTGCGCTGCGAGTGGCGATTCAGCTTGCGCCAGCCACTCCAACACAGGTCAACAAAAAGTTTCTCCATGGGTCGCGCCATAAACCGCGCCACGTATCACCCCCTTGCAAAACAAAAACAACAAATATCGTGGGTACCCCCACGGGGGGACGTACAGCTGCGAACTGGTGTCAGAAACAAATTTCGCGGAACCCTGAAGAGAAGCGGGATGCTGGGCCACGAAGGGCGCGAGCGAGCGGGGGCCACGAAGGGCAATTAATCCGAGGCCACAGAGGGCAGCGACGGGGCCGCTGAGGGCAGAAACGGGGCCACGAAGGGCAGAGAGGGGGCCACGAAGGGCGACAGCGGGGCCACGAAGGGCATGCATATGGGGCCACGACGGGCGCGAACGAGCGG